CACTCCCATCTATCAACCCCTTGTTCGCAGAAGCCAACTGTCACTTCACCACACTTCGCCACTGAATTACTGGTTTCTATTGGCAAAATTTTGAATGCGAAGAACATTATCAAATTATTTGTGAAGCACTAAAACACGTCTGTTGTCCCGGTAAAAATATTGGAAAATGCTTTTTGCTGTTATTGCGATATATAACTATTCGTAAACAAAGTTTTCGTCTGGATTGTTGCTTTCGTCATTTTCGTCTTCGTCAATCAGGCGCAAAACGTCATCCAGCTCTGTGTACACTTCAATATCTTCATCTTGAATGTTGCGAACGTTGAAGTAGATGTGAACAAGTTTTTCAACTCGTTCTGGAGCAAGATGGTTGCGTAGCTATGAATGGTAAAGCCATGAGCGGAGAAATTCCTCTCAGCTGCCGAACTCCCAGCTGTACAGGGAAACACTTGCTTGGCAATGTCTTGGAGAAGAGAAAACTGTTTTAGGGGACACCAAAAGTCGTACACAGCAAGCTTGCCGTTTTTCAGCTGGGTCCACATTCGTTGGGCATTCACCTTCAGCTCCGCAGTAAAGCGTTGGAACCGCACAAGCTCGATAACAACGGCGTCTGCGGTGGCTTCGCCTTGTTCTTTATTAATACCGCGCCACTCCGTGATGAATTCCTCCACACTGGACCGCGTTTCCGTATCCATTTGAGCGCCACAGAAACGAGGGTCCAGTACGTGTGCAACTCCGTGTGCGTCGCCATAAACAAAGTCAAATCGCTTGTTGATCAGCGCCTGCATGATCTTCATGTCTTTTGCAGGAAGGCCACACTTTGCCACGGAGTCAGGTAAGTCGAAGAACAGTTGGTAGACTTCAGAGACCAGCGTGCTGTTCTTCTCGAATCGCTTAAGCGGCCCCCCCCCCAAAGATCTTGATTAGTTCTGTAGCGCGCTTCAATTTGGGGGCAAAATCTGTAGCCGTGACAGCGTTGAATACGATGCGGTGCGTTTTGCGATTTTTTCTTCGACTTGGCCACTAAGAAGTTATGAGCGGACATTATCGCAAATAATACTTCTTCGGCCTTTAGAATGAAGTCCAAGCACGCCAATACAGACCCCCATCTTGTATCACCAGGCATGGCCAGAACTCGAAGTCCCATCGACTTCAGCTTTCTGCGCAACTTAAACCACAGTTTGTGATTCGTCTAGGCGAAGCTCACAATCACCTTGCATGTAGACTGCAACTCATCCAGCCACTTCAAGCGTGCCACCGTGTCCTTCACGAGCAGGTGCAAAGCGTGACAAGCACACCCATGAAAAAACACTCGAGGGACGTCTGGCTGCAGTTTCTCCCAGGCTGCCTTGTTTGCCGAGTGTTTTCTGTAACGACAGCACCGACCTGAAGAAACTCGTACTTGTCAGCCACACGCTTAATATCGAGTGCAAGGAAGTCTGCGTCGTGAGACTCGCACCCTGTATACACTGAGTCCAGAAAAAATGTCTTATTGCTGGCTACAGTAACATAGTTGATCACCGATAGACCATTTATATCTGTCCATGCGTCAGTCACAATCGTGACGACAACCCCACCAAGTTAGACTTGCGTCATGGCAATTGACTTGGCGTAGGCTCAGTCCCAAAACGACGTCGATAGCTGAAACCCACTCGGTAACTGGACGCTCGGATTGAGCAGCTTTAAGGCCTTCAAGAGCGACTTGTGCTTCACCTTGTAGAACGACATGCCTGTCGAAAAGACCCACTGCGCAAAGCTCTCCTGGAATTCCTTCAAGGCATTTGGCTGCAGCG